TTAGAGTCTTTGGCCTTTGTAGTCAGAAGGGTCTGGGTTTGAACCATAACCCCACTCTTAACTTTGGCCATGTTTCTTCCTCCTTCTAAGTTCCAACTTCCTCACCTACAAAATGGTTATAATAATGCCTGTTTCATGGGGTTATTGCGAGGAAAGAATGAAATATTTGTTCTTTTTATTTGGTGAATTTAACTCAGTCACATTTATTGTGATATTATTATAATAATATATAAATATATATAGTGAATATGTCAAATATCTCTATCCATATCTATATCGATCTATATTGTTTATGTACTATATAATCATGTGACCCTATGGCTGATGTGTTCCTGCCACATTTTTTGTATGTATTAAGCTTCCTTATGTTCCCTTCTTTCCCACAGAGGCTGTATTAGCTATGTATCAGTCTAAAACTTTGTGACACGCCACAATAGGCAGTTAGTACCTCAGAGTTTCTGTGGGTCAGGAGCCTGAGAGAGGCTTACGTGGGTAGCCCTGGCTGGGTGTCTCACGAGGTTGAGGTCATGATGCTTTCTGGGGCTGTACTCATCTGAAAGCCCGGCTGGGGTTGGACGATCCTGTCCCAAAGGTGGCCTTCAGTTTTTCCCCAGGTGGACCTCTCCGTGGGCTGCTTGAGTGTCCTCATGACACAGTGGCTGGCTTCCCTAGAGCAGACAGCAAGACAGGGGCTGCAATGTCTTTAATGACCTAGCCTTGGATGTCACAAACGATCACTTGTGGACTTGGAGCCTGGTTACTGTACCTCTCTTGTACATGTATGTAAATCACCTCACCCAGGCAGTGGGAGAAAGTCACTCATCTCTGTGACTCCAGAGCCTAGCACAGTGTCTGTCACAAGGCAGGCATCAATAACAGATGACCAGGTGAGGAATGGTCATAGCGAAGCCCAGGCTCCTCTCCCAATGCTATTCCCTAGAGGCCAGGTGCTCCTTGCAAGGCTGCATCGTCCATCCTTGTCCCTGCTCAGGCCTCAGCTCTGAACAGGCTGAGCCCTGTGTGCCAGGAGCCCTGCCTTCTCTGAGGCAGAGAGGAGAGTCTAGACCAAAAGCATTTCCAGGCCTGTCTTGTCCTAACTTTACATTGATCAGTAATTAAACGCAGCGTCCAATTACTATAACATTTGGCAAGGCACCAAGCTCGAGTAAAACCTTGCCGTAAACATCTGCTTTATAAATTGCTTCTCGGTGCAGTATACAACAGGGTGCCTTGGGGCCTGGGAGGCAGAGGAGCTGAGAGCTGGAGAAGGGAGACAGAAAGAGGTGAGAGAGAGGACACCAGATGGGGGGAGGTCTGTCCTTCCCAGAAGTAGTATAACTGAAGGATCCATCCTTTCCCTGGTGGTCCCTCCACTCCAAGATGGAGGCCAGCACTGAACCTGGGAAGTCTTTGACTCTCGGGATTTTGTCAGGAACTACACATCTAACATACATGACTTCTCACTCACCTGCCATGCTCGTGTACAGAGGAAACCACAAAGATGTATTTGCTATTCCCAAAAGTCCCTCTGGAGGGCTATAAAGGAAGATGGGGTGTTTGTGGTTTCCCACAACTGCTCCCTCCATGGTATATACTGTTCTGGAGTCAGAAATGGGTCCGTGTGCCCACTCTGTCTCTTGCTCAGGGAGGCTATGAGGAAAGGGGTCCCTAGGACTGGAGGTCAGGTGTTTGGGGTAAAGGCCTTGCTTTGCTGATGTGAGATTTCAGGCAGGTAACTCTGCTTCTCTGTGCCTCCATGCTTCTGTGAAATGGGCAAAGAGCCCGCTTGGTGTCTGGGGAGGAGCAGGGAGCTGTAAAGTGAAAGAGGACAGAGGAGTGGGGAAGAAGCTCTGTGTCCTGGACTCCTTGTGAAAGTGGCAAGGTGAGAACACCATCCCATAGAAATTCTGAGGGTTTAACCTGTGTGCTGCCAGAGGACAAGAATAGACACCAGTGCTATAGTCACTGGGCACACAGAAAACACTCAGTAGGTAGAGACTTACTTCTGTCCAGATGCCTGGGACCCTCCAGGCCTAATGGGCACCTTGGGGGCCCTCTACCCTCCCCTGGTCTGATGCTTTCTCCCTGGCACATAGCCCAGCTTCTCTGGTGAAGACCATTTGGATCAATCTGCCTTTCTGCCTCTGCTCCCCTACTCTCCCCTCTCCCCCCTGGGGTGTGTGTATGGGCGGGGGAGGCAACAGGGGGGTGTTGACCCTGGGTGGGGGAATAAACGGGAGGACTGTCCGACTCTAAACTGCTTGTCTGGCCATCACCCCTGCAACACCGCCCCAAGTGAAAGGAAATGAGATCTCAGAGTGATCTTGGTACTTGCTTAGCTGGCTGCTTCAGTAGTGTTGTCACCCCACCTGGGAGGCAGGGAGGTGTGTCCCTTCCCCTTTATTCCGACCCCACGAAAGGTAAGATGTGAAGCAAGGTGAGTGGGACGGCCTCTCAACTCTCCACCCAGATAAGGGGCCCAAGCTCCCTTCCTCCCCCCCACCCCCGTCACCATTAGAAACCCATTTCTTAGCACTAAGCATGACACACTAGATCCTCTTTAGCAATGAAAACAGACGCCAAGTGACCTTCACCTTGAACTGATCTCAGATAATGGGAGAACTCAGCCTACTGTCAGATCCTTGGAAGAGCTCAATCAATACCTGAGGAATAAATGAATGGGTGAATGAAGCCTCCCGCCCTCCCTCCCTCCCTCCCTCCTTCCTGTCTTCTCT